CTCAGTCGTCGGCTGTGTCGGGAGCGCGCCCGCCCGCCCCTCAGCGGCCCGGCCCGGAGCCCGAGAGGCGCGCACCATGAGTGGCGGCGAAGTGGTCTGCTCGGGATGGCTCCGCAAGTCCCCCCCGGAGAAAAAGTTGAAGCGTTATGTAAGTAGAGCTGCGGTCGCCGCTCCCCGGCCGGCTCGCCGGCGGCTTCAGCTGACGGTGCGCTGGGCTGGTCTTCACCTACTCCCGGTCTCTTTCCCCCGGGCCTCCTCCCCGGCCCCGCGGGTGCTGTACACTCACGCCCTGGCGTCCCTCGGCCGGGCAGCTTTCTTCCTGCGGCTTCAGACGGCCTGCTTTGCGGGCCTGCTCGCCGCTCAGGAGGGCCCAGCTTTCCAGCGAAACGGCCGCTGCGTGTTTTTCTTATTCCTTTTAACAGGGGTGGGGTGCGATGGGGAGAGGAGCCTTCTCCTTTCCTTATATCTGCATCTCATTATTATAGGACTGATGTGTACTCATTCCCGCACTAGGAAAGCCGCTGAGGTTTGGGAAGTCGCCAACCCGTGCCTTTGGTCGGCGCGCTCTCTCCCCTGGCCCGCGAGGTGCGTTGCGGGGAGCGGGCTGTGGACCTGAGAAACACACACAAGCATCTCAAATGCGCGCAAAGGGGAAAGAAAGAAAAGTTGCTACGCGCTCTACCGTTTGCTTAGCCCGGTTCACATTTTCGCGGTTTTGAATTGAAGGACGCTGGAGTTCGGCCCGAGAGCCTTGGCGGTTTGCTGCGAGAGGAGGGCGCTGGGGGGAGCCTGGTGGCTGGTGTTTGGGCGCCTTGGACGCGCTGTCAAGCCCTGCCGGAGGGCGGGGACAGCTGAAGGCTGAAGGGATTTCTGCTGTGATCCTTTCCCAGGGCACCAGCGTGGCTTAAATGGTATTTGTGTAATTGATACACGATACTGATTATGTGGTAAACCGTTTCAACTGCTAGGAAAAATATTTCTTGAAAGAATTAGCCTTACTTTAGTGGATATCTGTGTCCTGTTCAGAGGTCTGGAGTCTTATTCCCCTGTCCGTTGGTTCTATCGTCGCTGCCCCCTGCTAAGGAAAGACATGATACTTTTGTCTGATATCTGGAGCAAATATTTTTCTGGTAAGATGTGTTTCCAAAAACAAAATTTATGCCCCCTTAAATATAAATTTACTACCTGTACTCATGGAACCTGTCTCTTGTTGAAGGTATCTACACCCGGTATTGGAGCCCAATTAATCCTATTAGTCACTGTTTGCTTGCATAGAACAGAGTAAAATGCAGTATTTAACTTCACTGACGACTCACGAGTGAGTTTCTAGTTTACTTTCTGCCAGGATTTGTTATAGACAACTAATTTCTTTGAAGGACTTGATACCACAAATCATAAGAAAGCTCTCTAGAGATGCTGAATCCTTCCAAATCTTGTCTTTCCATCTATCACCGTTTGCCTGAACATCCTCGTAAAGATGCTTACTTTATTCCAAAAGTTTGAGAGAGGCAGTGGTTTTTTTTTAGTTATTAGTTCTAAAGAGAAGATTGTGTGTGTGTGTGTGTGTGTGTGTGCGCGCGCGCGCGAGAGAGAGAGAGAGAGAGAGAGAGAGAGAGAGAGAGAGAGAGAGAGAGGGGGGGGGGGGGGGAGAGAGATAT